TAGTCCGCCTTAATTAATTTGTGCATGCTTGGTGTAGAGCCTCGCTCCGCCAGGGCACAGTCCCGCGCTCTGACCCTTTGCGCTTGCGGAAGCAAAAGCGTAGAACCTTCACCCTTACCCACCTTTATTGTAGTGTGAGTGTAGGTGCGAGCGGCAATTCATTATCACGATGTAATTTGGCGCAAGCTCCCCTTCTTAGCTAAGCAGGCAGTGGGAACATAATTGCAAAATCATTTTACATTGACTTGCTTGTGGAAAGTCGAGCTTTGACAACCGCGCGGAAGGAAAACCGTGCAGTGCAACTGGGGATTTGCAAGTTGTGAAATCACGTTATATTGCTACCCAGTCACCCTTTTACAGATACTCTGCGGTTGGGCACTGCAAGACTATTCTGCGGTTGGGCACTGGGATACATTGCCATTGAGCACTGCAGTAAAGCTCCGATCGGAGGGCGGGGACGACATGGACTTTAAGAAAAAACAAACAGGACATGCGTGTGTGCGTGTCCATAGCAAAAATGTCATGTTGGCAAAAAAATGTGGCAGAAAACACGCCTTCAGAAACGCAACCCTGTTATTGTTGCTGCTATTACTATCAATTAATCCTCCTACTACAGCTATTGCTCAGCTATTGCTACCTTTACTAGGCCGGTGCTGGCGCCGGTGGCCGCGGCGGTGGTGGTGGTGGTGTTGCGACTACTACTGCAGCAGATGCAACAGCCAGAGCACCGATTCCGATTTTGACGACATGGCAACGACAGGAACGCACTAGCACTGGTACCCTTTGCTCGCGCACGGTTCGTGCTTGCATTAGTACGACTCGACCAAATTTTCTGCTGCTACTAAACCCTTCGCTGTTGTTTTTTTTTGCCGTCCTTGATACCACCTGTTCTACATCTCCAACATGACTCATGACGAACAGAACCCTTGGTGCATACAGGCCCTCAAGCTGGCACAGCCAGATATCGATCTCCTCGTCATGGAGCAGCAGCTTCAAGACTATGAGGACACGCAGATGCTGGCTGGGAGCCCAGCATTTGACCTGAAAGACTTCCCCTCGGAGCAGTTTACCTTGAGCAACTCTACTACTGCTCGCACTCAGGGTATTCTTGGTTTATGCAGTTCAAATAAGCAGAGCGTTTATTTTTGCAGAAAGTTCCATGTACTTGCAGATGTTTTTTCTGTCTGATCCGAGGCACAGCTCTTTGCCCACATGCTGCACACGGATGAGGACGGTTTGCAGCGCGTTGGGCCTGGGCCCAATCTATGTTTCTTCTCCTTGGCTTCGCCCCCTCTTCGAAGTTGGAAGAGTGCAGCTTGTCAGGTTGGAGGAGTTCCGGCACCTGGTTGAGAACAGCGAGTTCCGCTCCTATTTGCAGACCAGGTGCGGGACCCGAAGGAAGATTGTGGTTTCTGGGGATCAAGCTAATCCAACCAAAGTCCAGCAATTATTGACTACAAGGCTTTAGGCACTGAGATTTCTTTTACGAAAACAGTGGAAGACAGTGCAAACAGCTGTGATGCCGAGGGGAATTGACATCAAGAACGCCAAGACCTTAGCAGATTGAGCCTGCCAGTGCTGAGCACGTTCTGGAACAGCCTTACTGCATATTTGAAAAATCTCAAGAAGTAAGGAATTACCCCTTTTGCATTTGAGACCGGGACCTCCTGGAGCCGTGCTGTGTGGAAGCGTGTGGCATCATTGGAGCAAGCAAAAAAGGGCTGATGCCCCACAAAAGGTGGACGGTCGGTAGACTCGACATCACTGGCAATCGAGATCTACAGCTTCATAGAAAGGCGACGCAGGAAGCACAGAAGGACCAAGAAGCCAGTGGGACACAAAAGTACCATGCGCTTCCGAAGGCCACCTTGCTATGAGCTATCGAAGATAAAGATGCAGGTCATCACCGGGTGTCAAAACAAAGGCAACATTGAGAGTGCTTCAATGAAACGGAACCAGAAGCCGAGCCTCTTCTAAATTCCTCCTGCTTTTTCTTGTTCACATTTGAGATGAAAAGCCAGTTCAATAAAGAGACGGGGTTGCCGACAGACTTGCATGCTTGCGATATCTTGCGCTGCGATGCCGTGCAATCATCCTGTCGGAGTAGTGCAGGGAGTGGCGAGTGGCCTTTTTGTCACGAAGAATGTATCGTTCGTTACGCGTTGAAGGGCCCAAAAAGCATGGACCAGCGGTGCCAGCAAGCGAGATCAGTTCAACATGATTGTCACATTTGACGTACCACGTTGTCACAAGAGACCACGGCTGCTGCGATGCGCGGATAATTGATTTGCCCTTCAGGCCGAGACCTTTTTCAAGATGCTGGTGGAGCTGCAGCTGGGCTGGAAAATTGCACTCCTATACGTCTGTGAGAGAGAGTGAGTCAGCTTTGCAATGCTTTGCATGCCTCAGGCATGGGGAGCCCACCATTGATGCCATCACTTTTGCAAATGCTTGTGTGCGCATGAAAGGCCGGCCCTCAGATGCAGAAACCCAGCATTGAGCTCGAATCGCCTCAGGTGCTGCAACAAGCATCGACCTGCAGACGGCCGGGACCTCCTGCAAAATTCTAGCTTTGCCTCGCCTCGGATGCCTCAGGTCATGTACACTACGCACCTGATGAACAAGGAGCAGCGACGCGCTTTCCAGTTTATGCCACCGCCTCAGATGAAACAAGCTTTACATGGCTTTAGAAGAAGGTGTCGGAACTTGGCGAGTCTTGGCATGAGGTACAGCCGCTTGAAATCAATCGAGTCAATGCTCCGAGCTGCTTGGATGGCAACACAGGCTTCAAGGGCTTTCGGGCACTTCCGTGCCACGTTTTCGCAGCATCGCTGTGAACGGAATGAAAGAGGTCTACGAGTCTGCAAGGCACCATTTGCTCCTGAGGAGAAACCTGATGAATTTGACTGGCCGGAAGGGGCCTCCTTCCAGTCCGAGGCTGAGATATGACAGATTTTAGGCTCTCAACGCGACTCGAAGAGAAGCTCAGGGACTTCGCGCAACGATTGCCGGAGCCTCCAAGGTCTCCAAAGAGCCAGCCGAACCTGAGCCGAGAATGGTCCCGGTCCAGCCCTTTGTCATGGCCTCAATCTAAAGCTGAAGCTTGCAAAGATAAGCAGTTGAATTAAATTGCTACCGGTATCTGCAGTTTGCATCAAGCTGTTTGCATCGTATGACCGGCCAGGAGCCCCTTGTCCCGGGGTCTGGAGAAGCTGTCAGCGGCCGAGCACTGAGGCACCCGAGACCAAAGCCAGGGCTGATGTGAACTGCATCAACCGATTGTGCCGCATACGTGATGACATCTAATGACATGTGCTCGCCAGTGAAACGGTTTTTTTTGGGCTTTATGTGCAATTTTGGTACACCTCCCCGTTGCAGCATTGCTGGCAGGTGCAGCAGCAGAGCATGAAACCGTGCTAGCAAAAAGGAGCTTGCATCCCACGATCTTCCTGGAACTTCAGATCGCTAGGGCTTTTCAGCAACAGGAGCATCTTGAGATGGTGCATGTCCTCGACTCGACCTTGCAAAAGTAGCGCTCCGATACTATCCCAGCTGCAGAGCGTAGGTGCCGCGAATTCAGGGCCTACCGAAGCCTCTTCAAGTAACAAGGGCCAACGCAACACGTTCCCTCGGCTCCTTGAGGTGCACATTCAGGAGCTTGTAGGAACAGCGAAGCATAGCCACACGGGGCCAAAGTCTAGAGTGCTGGGACCATGGCTCGACATCCTTTGCAGCCGGCCTTCGCCGTGGCCTTGAGCTTCGCCTTTTGCTTCTGTGGCCCCAGAGTGCCCTTCCAGGCTCTTGTCTGCGGAGTATTCAGTGCTTTTGATTCTCAAATCGGAGAGGTGCAGAAGCTTCCGCGAGCTGCGGCCGCAGGTAGGGAGCGGAAAAGTTCTAGAGTCTATAGAGTCTGTTTCAGAGTTATTGGGCCGCGGCTCTGCAGGAGAGACCTTCGAGGAGGGCGACCTGGTGCATTTGGCGGAAGGCGAAGAAGTCGAGGCTGGTGGTTGCAGATTCCTTTCTCGTCACTCCCGAATTGCGAACATGAGAGGTTGCCTTGGTGGTGGCGAAGCAGTGACATTTCTGCTTCGTGCAGCCGCTGCAGCGAGACGGAGAACGCATTGGCCTCAGGGTTCCTAGTGTTAGCCTCCTGAAGCAAGCGTTGATGCAAGTGCAGTTGTTGTTTTCAGGCTGGACTGCTTCCGACGAGTCAGAGCTGCTGCAGGCATTTTTGCGCAAGCCGATGTAGGCTCTGCACGATCTCTTCATTTCTTTTGCTAAACCAGGTGCCCTCCGAAGACCTTCGGCGCTGCGAGGCAGAGCCCTGTGAGGCCACGGGTGTTGGTTGACAGCCTCCTTGAAGTTTGTGTCAGGGCCGTGCCTTACTGTCAGGGCCCCGAAGGTCCGTTTTGGATCTCGGCCGCCAGCTGAGCGCTCAGCTGGAGGTGAAGCAGATGCCTTGGTCCGGAGCGGATGACGGAGTCCCAGCTCGGATGGCTGCGGCCAGGGTCTGCTTCTTTTGTCTCACTGTGTTTCTGATGCTGCTTCCTATCGGGTCCCGCAACTCTGCAGCAGCTCTAGTAGCCCACCTAAATTCCTGATTGCAGCATCTGTTTTTTCATCGCATCCAACCAGCCATGCCTTCTCCGGCCAAATGAGAGCGAGAGCTTCCGTGTCCTGCGGAGAATCTTGATTAGGGTGAGGCTGCTGCAGAAGAGGCTGGGGGAAGCGGACTTCCTACTTCCAGGTCCTTTTTGTAGCCGTACTTCAAGCGCAGCTCAGCAGTTGATACCTTGCATAATTAGTCTTAATTAAGGTTACGGATTTAGGCCAAGGCTTGCATTTGTTAGGGCTGAATACTTGCACTGCGGATTTCTCGCTGATTTTTGTGTT